TGTTTTTTTTTTTTTTTTTTTTTTTTTTTTTGAGGGGGTGGGGTTGGGGTTGCGCCGCCCCATAGCGCTTCCCAAATCCCCAACCCCCCTTTCCACTGGCCGCCATGCGGCCGCAGACTTGTCCGCGGATGGCCGCCGCTGAGGGGGATTCGTAGACTCCAACCACGAGGGGAGCATTGGCCGCGGGGGGAGGTCGACGGTCCGCTGCGCGCCGGATTCGGGTCGATGTTTTGGTGCGGGTCGACGCGCTGTCCACCGTTGTCGCCATCAGCTTCCGTGCTTACCCATGATGTCGGTGATCGCATCGAAGGTCTATTGTCTGACATTCTTCCTTTTGCGCCCCCGCCTGCACTACCACCGCTGAATGTCGAATCCCTCGTCGATCCCTGGTCGTCGTCTTGTCCGTCCCCAAATCCCTCGCCAGCCGCGGATTCGTTCTGGTCGCCACTTGGCCTAACCATCTGAACCCCTCCAGCCGCACCCATGTCCGCGAGATTCACCGGGTGAATATTGTGATCTGCCTTCGACATCTCGTTCATCTCGGAATACACACGCTCATCCATCCGAAAGTTGAACCCTTTCTCCTTCTTCTCCGCCGGCGTTAGTGTGAAGAAATTTTGCTTCCCGGATTGTCCCATGGATCGATGCACGGATTTGAACTGCTGGTACAGGTTGTCCCATTTTCTACCGCATTTCTTGACCTTCCTAGTAGTCACCCCCGCCTTCACGAGCCTCTTCTCAATGTCATCCCACTTCCATGTCCTCGACTTTATCCGTCCATAGTTGTGCCCCAGCCCGGCGAGATGCAAATCCTGGTCTCTTTTCGCCCGGACCAGAGCGATCATATGATCGACGGTCCAAAAATTCCTGCTTTTCCCTCCATCGCCTGTGGACGTGTCATCCACAGCCTTCTTGCCTTTCCGCCCCGCACGTGGTTCAGTCGACTTGTTTGTGGCCCCAGTACCTCCTCCCTTCCTCCAAAGCGGACAAATCTCCATCTCGCCGTCATCGTCCTTCCCATTGTCATTGTCGTCGGCGTCTACTGTGCAGTGCAATCCTATGTATCACCCGCGGTCATGACGGCGGGTCATTTTACCGCATGCGGTCATGACCTCGACCGCAGGGGCCGACCGCCCGCGGCCGAGTGCGGTCGCAAAACCCCGTCATTTTTAGTTCGTAGGATAATGGGCAAAAAAAAAAACTAAACATATGGGGTTGTAGGTTTTTTTGCTCTCTACAACCTCATATTTTTAGTTTTATTTTTTGACTTCGTTTCGGATTCTTAAAAAATGAAAAACAGAAATCCCTCTAGCAAAAGTTCTTCACTTTTATTCTTTTGGTAAGAAAAATAAAGGATTTTGTTTATTTTTTATCTCAAATTTGGTAAGGAATTTGGATATGACCCCAAGGCAAACTTTGTTCAGTTTATTTTTTGGCATAACATATATATTTTTCAGATTTGTCTGAATTCTTTTTTTTTTTTTTTTTTTTTTTTTTTTCATGACCGAGGTCCGCGGTCATGCCCGCGGTGACCGCGGCCGCGGGGGATTTATAGGTGCAATCTTCGCCCCCCCCCCCGCCATCGCAGTCCACGAGCATGTCATGGCCCCCTACATTTATGTTCGCCACCCCTCTCGTTATGCCGGACGGGCTGTACTGACGCGATTGTCGTCGATGATCATCCCAAACCTGTCGACCCATGACCTCTGTGGCGGACCAATCATCATCGTACCATCGCCCGTTGATTACATCAGTAGGTGTCGTCGATCGGCAGGCCGCCAATCCCGCTATCCTCGTCCTCGAAGCGACCACACCAGCACTGCTCATCGCTCCCCGCGTTGGCGAAATGAGTCCGCGCTCGTAGCCCAAATCCGGTAACACCTACCTCGCACGCCCGGAAGCCCCCCCTCTGTCGCCGAAGGCCGTGTGTGGTTGGTGCCTGAAGATGGGTTGACGACAACGATGTGCGTCACATCCTGACCGCTACCAGACCTCAGACCGAAGCTCAGATCGACAAGTCTTTCGTTGCAGCTGGCCGGGGTCCGCCCTTCAAGTTCCAGAAGATCAGTGTACGTCGACGTCGGTGGTTGTCTGAACAACTGACTCCCCATCCAATCCTGCGTCGAGCTGCTGCCCAAGGCCCAAGGGAACCGTTGAGGATGGAGGGTCGACGGCGTCTTCGTCACTCGGAGGCGACGAAATCTCGTGGGACAGCAGGTGGTTGTACCGCGTCGGGTCTTACGACCGCCTGCCACCTTCCGCACCGGTGCAACGCAGACGTGAAGACCCCCCCGCCACTGCCGATGCTGTGGTCTTTTTCTGAAGGTTGTCCATCTTCCTCGCCTTCTTCGACGTGCGCGGCGTCACTTTCCGTCCACGAACGCGGCTGAGGGAGCAGATGTGGAAGATGACAACGACAAGCAGCAGCAGAGCGACGAGGAACAGTAAAGGCAGTCTGCGGTACAGCTCAGCCATGGACGACAGGGCAGCAGATACGGAACACGCACTTCCGCTGACGCATTTGAGGCGAGTGGCGATACAGTACTGGAGGAAGAAGCCATCGAAGCAGATTTTTGCAATGGGGGACCGGGGGTGGACGACTACAAAATTCATAAATTCGACCGTTGGGGAGCCCGCCCGAATGACAAAACCCCTCGAGCAGCCGGCCGAAGAAGCCCGATGCTCATCATGGCCCCGCCGGGCCGCCCGAAGAACCGACAGGGCCATCCGAGGAATCGTCGGTAACGGTAAACCGAGGAGGCCGTTGCAGGACGTTGTTGACGACGACGGCCTCCAATGTCCGTCTTCCGGCCAGTGGACCACGAATGGACCACCTTTGCCTTTCAATTTACCTTATGGAGTCGACACCGTCAGCCCGTGAATCGTGGATCCTCGGGCTCCAAAGGACCTCGCGAAGTCCTTTGGACTCGAGAACAATTTGCCTGGGAAATCCTCGAAGCCCGAGGATTTGTCCTCAGAGTGTTTTCACTTTTTTTTTTTCGAAAATCAACTCCGATGACAGGTGGAACGACGACGAAATCCTTGGAGTCTCGTCCCCGAGGAGTGTCTAATGACGCCCTTGCTCTAGACCAAAACTCATGACAACACCCTCCGAGAGCTGTCCGAAAGCGCTCTCGAAGGGCGCTCTTGAGTTGTATAGAGTTCACAGCCTGCAACGCTCAGGTTTTCTAGTGTCCCCCATCCTACCCCCGGTCCGGCCTCTTTTTTCACGTGTGCCTCCTGCCCCGACCATCAAAACAAGATGGCGTTCTCATCTATTGCTGTAGAAGGGTTGTCATGTAGTGCTGAAAATTTCCTGAGTGCTTCTATAGTTCTTGAGTCTGGACTAAGGGCATACTTACACTGATAACCAAGATCCGCAAAATATGCGGATTTGGGGAGGGCCGATTTGAGGTTTCGGGCATGGTTCACGTCACACTGCTGTACCTTTTTAGATCGAACTTGAATAAGGTCGCGGTCGTCTGAAGAAATGGGGATTTGGTACTTGGCTGGTCACACAGTGCCATCCACAAATTGTGCATGAGCTTTTGTGTACAAATGTTTACTAATTTTTGAAGAAAATGTGAAAAAATAAATAGGGCATTTGCGGTCACCTCCAGAGGTGACCGCATGCATCCCCTCTGATGGCTGGAGGGAGACAACAAGCTATGTTTGAAGGGGTCCCATGTATAAGCCTTAGAAGTAGTGGTAGGTAGGTAGTGAAGTGTTCCCCGTATGCCTATAATTAGGAGTAGTGGTAGGTAGGTAGTGTGAGGTGAAATTGAGAGAAGACAGTTGTTTTTGAAAAAAAAATAAAAAATAAAAAAATTCATTGAGCCGCGGCTTCTTAGGCCGCTGACAAATGGGCACACCAATAGTACATTTGGTGCTTTTGACAAATCTATGTGATCGGCCAGGTACCCTTTTTGGGGGGTTGGTTGGGATTATAGGTCCCAGTGTAAGTGGAGCGATGCTTCTTTTTCAAGAGTTCTGTAGACCTCTGACAACTCTAGAAGCACTCATGAATTTTTTCGTGAGTCTAATGTAGTGGAATGAGACCTCTTGTTTTGTACGGTTTATGTACGAACATAACGCGCAATGCACCGTGGTCCGTGGGAGTGGACAGCTTGGGTACAAATGTCCCAAAACTGTGGCGAGATGGAGTTGTTTCTGAGTAGAACAAAGCTGTGAACAGATTTTTGCTCGGCCACGAAAAAGTGGACGTGCTTCTCACCATTTTTTTAATATTTTATCTTTTATTTTTATAAACATCATGATATATATATCGTCAAATAGACTAGTTAAGCGTCCGAGGTGCGGGCGGTGTGGGCAATGCCCGCAAAAAATAAAAATAAAATAAAGTGCGCATGAAGTGTTGCACCACACACAAAACCCAAACTGCGGCTCCTAAGAAATGCGCATAAATATTTTTTTTCCTAACGAATAGTCGAAAATATTATTCTTTTTTTTTTTAAACAAGGTAGGCGGGGGGCTTCTCGTTGCACTTGCATCCATATCTTGCTTCACCACACACCAAACCCGCACCAGGTCACTAAGAAGTGCGTATGAATGTTTTCATTTTAATATATACTCAGGAATATATGTATTTTTTTTTTTAATTCAAGTAGCGGGGGGGCGGCTCCCCCCTTGCACCCACCCCCCCCACTCCAGACTTGGATCCACATCATGCTGCACCACACACAAAACCCAAACTGCGGCTGCTAAGAAGTGCGCATAAATATATATTTTTTCTAACGAATAGTCGATAATATTGTTCTTTTTTTTTTTAACAGGGTAGGCGGGGGGTTTATCGTTGCATTTGGATCCATATCTTGCTTCACCACACACCAAACTCGCACCGGGCCGCTAAGAAGTGCGCATGACTGTTTTGATTTTAATATATATTCAGGAATATATGTATTTTTCTTTTTAATTCAAGTGGTGGCCTAGTGCGGGTTTGGACACATAGACACATCCTGACCTGCCAGTTGTCTGACGTCGGATACACTTCATAAAGAAGCAGTCCCCCAAAACACACAGGGACCCAGTCGACCTGAGCGGTTAGGGCAGTTGCGTATCTCAAATATGTGTGTGGGTTCAAACCCGAGTCGGACGCCGACCATTGGCAGCAAACTTCATAATTTTAATATGTGTGTGTGTGTGTGTGCGTGTGCGTTTGAATGTGTGTGTGCATGTCGGTGTGTGGGTGTGGGTGTGGGTGTGGCTGCGTGTGCGTCTGTGTGTGCGTGTAAGGGTCACTGTGACTGGGTGCGTTACGTGGGTGCTCTGCCTGCTACGGCTGCCTCCGCCGCCCCGATGCTTTTTGCCCTAGACGATAGCGACCGACGAAAAAAGAAAAGAGAACTTGAAAAGTGTCAGCGCAGAGCGGGAAAGCGACAGGCACACGAGAAAGCGGGCGGAGCGGAAAAGTGGGGAGCGAAAAAAAAGTGGGAACGACGGCATGCTACAACGCAAAAAAAAAGGGAACGACGGCACGCTACAGTGGCCAAAACAAAAAAAAGGGAACAACGGCCGACCCAATATGCAGCGCAAAAGAAAAAAAGGGAACAATGGCCGCTATACAAAGCGGGCTCACAAAACGTTGTGGTTGCGTGTGCGTGTGTGTATGCGCGTGAGTGTCACTGTGACTGGGTGCGTTGCATGGGTGCTTTGCCTGCTACGGCTGCCTCCGCCGCCCCGATGTTTTTTGCCCTAAATGGTAGCGATCGATGAAAAAAAAAAGACAAAAGTGGGAGCGAGGAACGGGAAAGCAACAAGCACGTGACGAAAAAGAAAAACGAAAAGAACGTGGGGAGCGAAGAAAGGCGTGTGAGTGTCACTGTGACTGGGTGCGTTGCGTGGGTCTTGCTGCGGCTGCCTCCGCCACCCCGATGCTTTTTGCCCTAAACGGTAGCGACCGACGAAAAAAAAAAAGAGAAAAGTGGGAGTGGGGAGCGGGAAAGGGACAGGCACGCGACGAAAAAGAAAAAATAAAAGAAAGCGGGGGAAACAAAAGCGGGACAGCGAAAAAAAAAAG